AATTTTATGTGAATTCTTCCGAGCACACAAAATCGTCGAAGTTGCCTCTTGCAAATTGCGGGACTAGACTTGTCGATACCCCTTTTGTGTATGGGCCTAATGAAAGGCAACATTCACGTCCGTCCGTGCCGGACCTTGGGCCTAAGGGCATTGGCCCCTTTTCTTTTTGGGGTCTGCTTCCACCTGAAGACCGATCCTTTCTTTTCCAAAAGTCTCAGTTCTACAAGGGTTAGTTGTAGGTAGTCCGCAATATCTTGAAGAACCGGTCCCCCAATGTTTTTCCCCCCAAGAACCCACTTGCATTGTTGTCGTCCGCCGCCAAAAATGCGACACCTTGACACAAATGTCGAAACCCACTATACCTCAGCCTTAAGGCTGCGAAGTAGCTCAGAGGTACTAGACCCCATTTTCAAAAGTTGAAGTTTAGTAACGATGTCAATATTTTTTTTCACCGGTTGTTTGTGGGATGACCCTTTTGTGCGACTACCTTTCCCGTTATTGGGAAAAGTGAGAATATATTCTACATCGTATTTTTTGGGGGTTGTATCGACTGTCGCCCGCCATAGATGAATTGTCTATGGCGTGAGCGCAGGGAACACAACCCTAAGGTAGCCAAAGCAATGAGACTAAGCGCGCGCGCGAGAGAGAGAGAGAGAGAGAGAGAGAGAGAGAGAGAGAGAGAGAGAGAGAAAGAGAATGACAAAAAGGAATATGGGTTAAATTGTCGTTGCGATCTATTTGAAGGTTAATATTTTTCCTGGAAAGATCACAACAAAATCTACGAGAACTCAAATTTTAAGAGTTTTTCACACATTCTTCGGAGCGCGAAAAATCACTGATGTTGGAGTGAATTTTCCTTTGGCCCACATATGGCTAAGTGGCAAAAATAGAAAATATGCCGAATCGGTGTGATGATCATTTCGCGGGCTTGACGAATTTTTGAAAATTTTCATATATTTTACCTGGAAATACCATAACCTAGTCTATGGATTATCAAATTTTTAGATTTTTCTAGCGAATTCTTCCGTGCAGAAAAAATCGTGAAAGTTGCCTCTTGCAAATTGCAGGATTGGACCCATCGGTACCCTCCGCCTTGGACAACCTGCGCGTGGGACTCGCGATGACTTCTCTTCTTATTATCTTCGTAGTCCGCTTTCTCTTGACAACCGGTCATTTTTTTTTTCTAAAAGTTTCGGTTCCACGAGAGCTAACTATAGGTCGTCTGCAATATCGCCAAAGACCAGTCCTCCAAACACTTTTGCCCCTAAAGAACCCACTTGCATCCTGACCGCCTGCCGCTAAAAATGTGACATGTTGACACAAATGTTGAAGCCCACTATACCGTAACCTTAGGGCTATGAATTTCATCACCGAGGGTCGTTTCATTTAATCATTTTTTATTATTATTTATATCGTTATAGTATATTATCTACCGAGTGGGAGCGGGAAATGCAACCCTAAGGTAGCTAAAGCAAGCATAAGAGCATACAATATATATATAGAGAGAGAGAGAAAAAAAAAAAAAAAAAAAAAAAGGTTGAATGACAAAATTGAAATATGGGTCAAATTGCGGCCATGGTCTATTTTACAGTTGGAATGATTTTTTTAAATTTATTTAGCGTTTTTCCCTAGGCTACCAGCCGGGCCGCCTGGGTCCCCGGTGACCAGCCCGTGCAAGGACCAGGGAAGGCACCAGAAAAAAAAAAAAAAAAAAAAAAATCCCCCAAAAAACTATGTTATGCAGAAAAATAAATTGAACAACGTTTGCCTCAGGGTCACATCAAAATTCTGCACCAAATTTAGAATAAAAAATAAAATTTCAAAATATTTATTTTATTTTTTTGGGCCCGGCCGGGCAAGTGACCCCGGGCCACTCTGCTAGCCTAGTTTTTTCCTGGAAAAATCACAATAAAATTTACGAGTACTCCAATTTTCAGGTTTTTTCACACATTCTTCTGAATGTGAAAACTCTCTGAATTTGAAGTACTTTTTCAGTTGGCCCACACATGGCTGAGTGGCAAAAATGAAAAACGTGCTGAATCGGCGGGACGATTATTTCGCGGTCTGAATGATTTTTTAAAAATGTTATAATTTTTTTTTTTGAAAAGAACACGATCTTATCTATAAATTCTCAAAATTTCATATTTTTATGTGGGTTCCTCCGAACACAAAAAATCGCTAAAGTGGTCTCTTGCAAAACGCCTGTTTCGTGGCGCTGGACCTCCCTGTTCGCATCCCTAAGGCGGCGGTGTAGTGAGCTTTGGCGTCTGTGTCAAGGTGTCGCATTTTCAACGGCGGGTGACCAAGACGCAAAGTGGGTTTTTAAGAGGCAAAAAAAATTGGTGAACTGATCCTTGGTGAAATTGCGGACTACCTACAACTACCTCTGGTAGAATTGAGACTTTTTGAAAAAGGAAGGATCAGTCATCGGGTGGAAACGGACCCCAAAAAGAAGTGGGGGGCGTTGGACAGTCCACGGGTGGAAGCGGATCCCAAAACGAAGTAAGGGAATGTGAACTGCAAAAGGACCCTCAGACCCAGACGTTGAGGCTCGTGTTTTCAAAATAGGGAGGTTAGGGGTAACGAAACAGACGTTTTGCAAAAGGCGACTTTGGCGATGTTTTATGCTCGGAGGAGCCCTCGTAAAAATCTGAAATTTTGAGAATCCACAGGTGAGGTCGTTTTTTTTCCAAGAAAAATATTAGAAGATTTTCAAAAAATCATTTAGACCGCGAAATAATCATCGCGTAAATTCGGCACATTTCCCATTTTTGCCACTCAGCCATGTGTGGGCCAACTGAAAAAGTACTTCAAATTCAGTGAATTTTCACTCTCAGAAAAATGCGTGAAAAAACCTGAAAATATGAGTACTCGTACATTTTGTTGTGATCTTTTCAGGAAAAACGCTTAATAAATTAAAAAAAATCATTCCAACTGCAAAATAGATCGCGACCGCAATTTGACCCATATTTCAATTTTGTCATTCAGCCTCTCTCTCTCTCTCTCTCTCTCTCTCTCTCTCTCTCTCTCTCTCTCTCTCTCTATCTCTCTATCTATCTATCTATCTATCTATCTATCTATCTATCTCTCTTTCTTCCTCTCTCTCCCTCTCCCTCTCTTT